TATGTGGAATCTAAAAAAAAAGACACTATGAACTCATCTACAAAACAGAAAGACTCGCAGACATTGTAAACAATCTTATGGTTACCCGGGAAAGGGGATGGGAAGGGATAAATTTGGGAGTTTGAGATTTGCAAATGTTAGACACTATATATAAAAATAGATTTAAAAAAACAAGTTTCTTCTGTATAGCAAAGGGAACTATATTCAATATCTTGTAATAACCTTTAATGAAAAAGAATATGAAAACAAATATATGTATGTATATGCATGACTGGGACATTGTGCTGTACACCAGAAACTGACACATTGTAACTGACTGTACTTCAGTAAAAAAAATTTTTTTCAAAAACAGATGTTGTAGAACAATGCTTAATACATTGCACATATTCATGAAAAAGTTTTTATTGCAGGACTTCTTGACTTTAATGAGGCTGATGTACCTGTGCATGTCAGAAAGAGTGCCCAGGTGGTGTTTCCCAGTCTTCTGGGCTACAGAACCCTCTTTTCTCAGAACCTGTATTCCTGTCTCCCAGGACACCTGTGTTCCACAAATCTAAGCCTTAGAGAAGAAAACGTCAAAAAATGCAGAAACTCAGGAAGACAGCAGTAAATGTGGATACCTATTCTGACTCCACAAGATTGGCTTTCTCATAGCTTCTGTTTAATGACAGGTTTTGCCAAGTTCACCAGCTAATGTAAACTAGAGGAACACAGAGTTCATTCCATCCTCAGGGAAGTTGCGGGGTTGGGGTTATTAGGAAGAGAAAGCCTGTGCCAGTGACCCTGGGGCCTTTGGTGACTTAATCCACTGCCAAAGCCCAGAGGCACTGGGCACAGTATTATTGTTATTAGATTCTCAACAGTGGAGGGCTGACATTTCTAAGAGCTTGTCAATTATTTTAATAACTATAACTCTTCAGGGTGGAGAGGCCAAGGAGATAAGTGTTACTCTGCAGACGTGAGCATTTGAAGTGAGATCCTGCATCCGGCCCTGAGCTCTAGGAAACCGAGGGCGATGCAGCTTCAATAGCACCCAGGGGTGGGCAGCTTTCAGAAACATCCTCTGCCTGCTCTCAGAGCAAGAAATACCTCAGTCCTTCCTTCCCCAGGTGCGATGGTGGGAGTCTGTGGAAGTCCCAGGAAGGGTCTTGGACTGAGGTACTCCCCAGGCAGAGGGGCACTTCCCATCTAAGTGAGGGGCTCAGGTGGAAAGAAAAGGGGCAGGAAGGGAAACAGAAAGGGAAAAACTAGCTGGGTGACATCATTTCCTGGGGTCCACATGTGGCGCGTGTCCCGAAAGCCACACTGTGGAGTGCACCAGCCCGGCGCAGGAAGCAGGCTGAGCCCAGGGCACTGCAGGACTGGGCAGTGAAAGCGATGGGGCGGGAGCGCAGAAGGGATGGGGAGAAAGGGCCCAGAGGGCACCACAGAGCTGAAGCCAAATGGTGTGGTCCAGCCTGTGATCCATGACTTCCCTCCTGCCTTTCCCCCACCTCGGAGGCCTCAAACCAAGTCCAGTTAGAACCTCCCAGTTTATCTTAATTGTGCCTTGCAAAGGTCATCGTCTGCATTTGAATTAAAGCATGAATGGAGGCAGTATGCCCTGATGCCAACATCAACCAGAACAGGAAGTCCGGCGCCACCTCGGACACTAAGTCCCCCGGAGGAAGGAAGTCAATCCAGGAACAGAAAGGCAGAAAAAGCCTGGGACCCTGATGGCCTTGGAGCCACACCAGCCCTTGACCATCCACCTCTGCACATCTTTCGTGGGAAAGAAAAATATAGTGCATACATCAATCTCATTTTTTAAAAAATACCAACCACATAAAATATTTCTGAATGTTTCTCATCATGTATTTTACATGTAGAATTAAAAAGCTTGAATGTGAATGTGGAATTATCTCACTAAAAATGCTGACAAAGAAAATGTATATGCTGTTCAAGACTTTAAATTAGCAAGAGGCAAAGCAGCTGAGGTGGCTCTGGGGTGGACTGACTTTATGCCCCACAGAACCCCACCTCGGGGTAAGAAGATCTGGAGCATTACTGCCCTGGCTTGTCCCATCTGGCTCTTCTGGGATGCCAGGCCTTGCCATGCTCCTCCTGGCCATTCCTGGGAGTCCCTGGGGAGCGTCTCCCTCTGCTCAAAGAACTAGGGCCCATGCCTACCACATGCCCTCTGCCCTTTGCTTGCCCTGGTTCTCGGCAGTGTTCATAGCTACTCTGTGACCCCTGCGGCCACCAGCCCCGCCTGCCACATGGTGTGGGGGTGGTCAGCCCTCGGTGGGCTGGGCTCCAGCCACTCCATGTGACATCTGAGGCTAGGAGATTTCTACGAACAGCCCCGGTCCCTGCAGACGCCCACAGCACCCTATCCGTGGTGCTGGGTGGGAGGGCAGAGAGCTCATGTTAGGACATTCTATGTTAGGAAACACGGTGTTTAAAAAATAAAAAATTACCCTATTGGTATGAGAATGCTGCAAGGAGCTAAGATCCCTGGCACAGGAAGCACTCCAAAATTAACACCAGGTTTTAGGCGAAGGATTTATTGGCTTCCAGAGAACAAGATTAAAAAAAAAAAGTCATTTGCCCCAAAACAGATGCTCAAACTGAGCTGTGGGGAAACCTGGACTGTTTGTTTACAAAGTCCCAGAGATGGTCCCGGCATGTCAGGATACCTGGTAGCAGAGGCTTTGCCTCACCTAGGCTTCTGGTCAATCATTGACATCTGGGCTGAGACATGTCTCCACTGGGCTACTGCCCCACAGCTCGAGTCGGCCCAGATGGGAGCCAGGGCACTCCCCTCTCAGCACTGCCTCTGGGTCTGGACCACCAGAGCACCCGTCACCTGTTCAGCACCAGAGAGCTGTATCGCAGATGCCACACTCAGACAGAGGCTGGGATGAGGCCTTCCAGCTTTCATGTGCACCGACCGCCGCACCGGAGAGGCCGAGGCCTGTTTCCCCAAAGTTCACAGCAGGCTCTTCCCCGTGTCTGCAGCTGGGCTTCCTGAAGCTCTCTCCACTCACCTCCAAACGTCAGGAGCACCAGTGCTGCAAGAGCCTTTGCTTGCCAGCCCTGACTTCCCCGTCCAGACTGTCCCCAAAGAGAATGTTCCTTTCTCTTGCTTCCTACTTGACTCAGGAGACAGCTGTGCCTTCAATGCACTGTTATAGCTGAGTGGAGCGAAGATCTCCTCTGAACTAATAAAGATGGTTTCATGCTCTACGGCCCAACGTGTCCCCTTGGATGGAAAAACATTTCGAAAAGACTTAAGGCCACTTGTGTCTCTCCCCCGGGCCACAAACTCTCAGGAATTCCAAGGGCAAAGCTCCTCACATGAGGCCACTATGGAGTAAAGAGCCTCAGAAACCAGGCTGGCAGCCCCTTGCCCTAGCTCGGTGCCACAAGCCATTCCCCATAGGGAATCAACAGCAGCTCAAGCAGGACCTTCGTCGCCAAGGAGACCAAGCACCATTCAGCAGCCAACACATGATGCTCCTAAGGACGCGGAAGTCCCAAGGACGACGTACTAACGGCCATGTGGGCCTCACGCTAGGGAACCACTGAACACTGGGCTCAAGCCAAACACGGCACAATTCTGCAAAAAATCTAAAAACGCTAACTGTCCTTGAAAGCTGCTCAAATCATGAGAAAATGATGGCGCCGGCTGTATGTACCGTGGGCCCTCCCCACGCACCTGTGAGGTCTCCAGCAGAGAAGGCAGGATTCTCAGGATGAGGCAGCCTGGGGAAAGAGGTTGTTTCAGAGTCGCCAAAAGTCTGAATGGTACTGATGCCACCGTCACTGGCTATGTGACCCTGAGGAGTCCCTTAGCCTCTCTGAGCTTCAACTTCCTCCCCTGGGATGTAAGACCCCTATCTCGCCCTCTGAAGGCTGAGACCATGTGCCCAGCATAATATCAGGTGGCTCTGCCCTTACTTAGAGGGATCCAGCGGTGGGAAACCGCCAGGGAAGGCGCCAGAGGATGCAAGGCTGCGAGCACCACAGGGCGTGACAAACCCATTGGTCCTGTTATGTCATTTACCCTCGAAGGCCAGAAACCCAGGATAAAGACACTGGTGAAGGAGAGAAGACCATTAGGAAGACAAATGTGGCCAGATAGAAAGCCCTCCTGAGAGCGGATTTTTCCAAATTGCTCCTAATAGCTAACTTCGCAGCAGCGGGCACTTTTCTGGCATGCTCTTCCCGTCCTATGGACCATGTTTCCAATTCTCTGGAGTTAATATTCGGTGCCGGTTTTGTTCAAAGAGTTCTACCATTTTCTGCATGTCGTGGTCAGCCTCAATCACCTGGAAATTAAACACACAGGTCACGGGGCTGCATCTGACCTCAACACCATCCTCCCTTCAGAGGAAGAGAGAGAGACAGAGGTGGGCGGGATGAGGCAGGGAGAGGCAGGGAAGCCCAAGGTCACAGGCAGAGGAAAAGCAAGGTTAGAGCCAAAGAGCTCCTGGTTCTAGGTCAGTCCAGTCTCAACTATATTTTCATTTAAGAATCTACTACAGTCATCCCTGCAGCAAGCTCATAAGTGATTTTTTTTCCTCATCACTTTATATCATCCACTTTTCTATAATGAGGGGGGAAAGTTAGTTTTCTTTTAAAATCCAGTACAGTAATATCTCACTTTCCAGAAACCTCACTGCCTGGAAGAGTTGCGAGTACAGTGTTTGAGCAGCCCAAACAGACATGCCCAAGGCCATGTGCAAGTTTGTGCACGGTCGTCCCTCAGTTACCCCACTGCATACACGCTCCTAACAGTCTGAGGTACCCACTTGCCTGCCTCAAGAAACTCGGCAGCAGCAAATCAGAAAACGAGGGGACAGGGGAAGCAGGGAAACGCTGACCGGGCAGACACAACATCAGCACAGAGATGGTGAGTGTCAGCAGGAGAGAGGGGGTTACGGTAAAAAGCAAACGGGAATTCAAAGGCATTAGTAGTCTGGGGCAAACAGTCCTACACACCTCAGCACCTCCTAAGGGCATCACTGTGTGACAGACCAGAACAGCAACTGATGTTCCTTCAGATGCCCTGGGTCACCAAGAAAAGGTGCAATGAGGCCCTGGGCCTGCCATCCACAGAGAGAGGGACAGGTGTGTCAGAAGCCCACCACCCCCAAGTGGTTAAAGCCAAAACCCAGGTCTAGGGGCTCCAACCACCTGGAACATTCCTTCACTGACGATGCTGGATAAGTGAGATGCTATTGTGTCATGGGTGTGTGAGACTCACTCCAGAATGGGGACTGTGGGACAGAGTCCCTTCCACCCTTCCTGCTTCGTTCTTCCGAATTCTCAAGCTCTGAGGGACTCAGCCCTCCCTTCCACAGACTGCAGAGTAGTTGACATTCCCCCGGGCACCCCTCCTTCTAGAAAAGTCCCCCGCCCTGTCAGGGGACTTACCAGAACAGGGGCTGCCACAGGGAAATGGCCTCCTTTGATGAGCCACTCCTCATACAGGTGGTGAACAGCATCCAGGTACTCCTGCCAGGAACACAAATGCGTGGGCTGTAGGGGCGGGGAAGGGAGCAAGCTCTCCCGCCAAAGGTCTCGGGCAGGTAGGGTGAATGGCGATGACCACGGGGCAGTGGCTTGGACAAAGGAGCTCGCAACAGCCAACCTGACTCAGGCAGACAATGATAAACATGGCCTAGCACCCCACCAGTGGGCCCAGGCATCGTGACCGTCAGAAGCATCACTGTGACCGGCTGGCCCATCCCTCTAGCACAGTCTACTCCACTGGTGCTTCATACACACCCTCTTGCCTGCCTCCTCTCGTTTTCTGCTGCTTCTCCATCAGGAGGGCCACCACGCCTTCATGGGGGCCTGAGTAGCCTCTGAACCCTCCCTTCTGTCCTTCCCACCAAGAGGACTGAAGCCCTCACTGGCCTAGGAGCCCCACTGCTCCAGCCCACACCAGACAACCTACGGCTCCATGGATCTCTAGACCATAAAGACCAACTTCAGAAAGCCTGACAAGGTGGAACCCAAGGGAAAATAGGCCTGGACACGCCCCTGAGCCGGCAGGACTGGACTGCATGCGCTCTCCCACACGCAGGCCGAGGTGCTCTCAGTCGCCCACGAGCACTTCCTCAAGTGGCAATTTACTCCCAGCCCAGAAGGGTAAATGGCACTGCCGCCTCTTCATCCACCACCGAGTTCTCCCTCAGCAACAACAGACTCGTCCTACAGGCCTTGTCAAAACCACAAAGACAGTGTCTTGGAAAGGGCTTGGAGGGACTCCAGACTTGTCATTTCTCAGGAGCATGTGGGTCACCGCACAGAGCTGTCCTGCCCCATTCCAGCATGGGCCAGCTCCACTCCATTTCCCCCTTCCTCTGATCACTCCTGTCCCCAGACTTCAAAGCAGCTGCCCGCAGTGATGCTCGGGCCTTCATGGTTGGAATTTACCTTGCTGGGCCCAGAGGAAACCAGGTTAGGCAGGCCTTAGGAGCTGGACAGGCCTTCTGGGACCCCCACGAAGCTGGACAGGAGCTGGACTGGCCTTCTAGGACCTCTAGTCCAGCTCATTCTGAGCTCAGACCCCCATGACACCCCAGCAAATGCCTGCCCAGCATCTGTCTGTGTAGTTCCAGTGGCATTCACATGGGGTATTCAGTTCAATATTAACTGAGCAACTCCTAGATGCCAAGCCCTGGGATACATGCTGAGGACGCAGAGGGAATAAGATCTAATCTTAAAACGCTCACAGTAGTTTTGTGAGGGATGGGGATCAAACACATCAATAGTTTCAGTATGTTTCTCCCAATGGCTGTGACCATAATAAGCACAGAGGCTGGGGGAGTACAGTGGAGAGAAGGTCAAGGAAGACTTCCTGGAGGAGGTAACATCAGACTTGGCAAGCAAAAGAAACCACTATGCAAAGGCGTATCTGTAATTCTATGGTGAGAGGGAGAGAGAAACAGGGACTGAGACAGAGAAAGAGAGTGAGAGTGAGTGTGAGTGTGTGTATGTGTGTGTGTGTGTGTGGCCACAACTAGTTCTTTATGGTCAGAGCATGAAAGGCAGGGAGTGGCAGGAGAGGAAGTCAGCCATGCAGGATCCCGGACGGCACACTACAAGTAGACAGCAGCGAGGCACTAAAGAGTTTGGGGCTGGGAAATCATGAGTGGTGTTCTGTATTGGAAACATCACCCAACCGCAGTGTGGAGGCTGAACTTCAGAGGGAGATGGGGGAATGAGGGACCAGGTCAGGGAGAGAAGTCTGAGCCTGTTACAACTGTCCTGACTTGAGTTGACATGGCTCAGGCCAGAACCCGAGGTCTTGGGCAAACACCAGTGAGTACCATCTCCCAGCCAGGCTCTGCGCATGTAGCAACAAGCAGGTGGGTACGTCCTAGCCAAGACCCAGAGCAGGGCACAAAGGCAAGCAATCCTCAGGAGGTGGACCAGCCAAGCCCTGGTGACGCCTGGGCGGGAACGGGAGAAGGGACGCCTCTGAGCACAAATGGTGCCAACCACTAGTGCGGGGCCACAGGAACTGAAGCATATCTAGACAGGGCACAGATCTCCAGCCATAGAGGAAGTCAGAGTTCACCCTCAACATGCTCATTTCCTGTTTCTCTCTCTTCAACAGCAGCACAAAGATCTCACAGTGGGTGGGGCCAGGCCAGGTGGGAGAGCATCTTTACCTGGGTTAAAGGGGTTCTTACCAGTGGAATGACTTTCTCCTCTTCCCTGCATCTCATCTTTAACCTCTGGTAACAGGTCTCAGGAGTGGTCCGGAGATAAACTGATATTAAAAAAAAAATGTGCCTTTAATTACTTGGTTCAAGGCTTGGAAGTGAAAGCCAAGGGCAGAAGGAAGGTGCGTGGGTGTCTGGGAAAGGCGCGGAGAGAAACACCTGCCAGGAGCCCCAAGCAGGAAACACAGACAGGGCCAGCTCGCAGCTGGACCACTGACCGGCTCTGGCTGTGTGGCCTGACTGGCCTGACTCTTGACTTCTGTTCTTTTTCCGTGTCACCAGCTCCACAGCATCATTGTGAGGCTGAATGAGGTCCCACATGTAGACAGAGCTTAGCGTGGGGCCTGGCACACAGAGGGTCTCAGTAAATGTCTGGGTTTTGTCCCTCCTTCCTCCCTTACAAACTAGGAAAACCCATCAGATCACAAGGGACTGAGGGGAAGGCACCTTGAGGAACACAAGCCAGAGCACATCTCCAGAAGGGGTGGCTGGATTCATGCAGGTAAAGACCAGCCAATGGTGAGGGCCCTGCCCATTACCCTTGCTGGGTGGGGCCCCAGCCAAGCACATCCTCACTGGGCCCAGGGGAGGGAGGCGGGTAGGACTGTCTCACCTATCAAATCGATGGACACGTCGATGTTCCTCACAATCCAGTCAAACCATTCCGACAGGACCGCATAGTCCACTTCAGGCATCTTCCCACTATAACGAGAGTTGTAAGGGATTCATTCTCCCAAGGGAACATTCCTGGGCTGCACCATCCCACAAAGCATCTGGGCACAGCTTTCATGGAAAGGGCACTGCCAAGGGCACCTGGGAGTAGTGTGACCACGTGATGCTGGATGGGGAGTGACGACAAGGACCCCAGACACCTCTGACCTTCCGCTGCCCAGGGACGGCTTACAGTATAATGCAGCACTCATCCTGGCATTGCCCGATGGGAGAATCCATTTGGGGCTTGAACTTCCCTGAGAAGGGGCTATGAAGCCTGTCCCCTGAGAACAGGGACCACTCAGGCCTGGAGGTGGAGCAGCAAACCCATTTCACCTCTAGAAATTTATTTTTGTGGAAGTAATCAAGGATACCCACTGTAGCACCATTTAAAAAATAACAAAGAACTAAATCATGGTATATATAATAGAAAACCATGCAGCAGGTGAAAGATGATGCTGTAAAATATTTAATGACATGGAAAATGCTCATAATCAAATGCTCATCATTCAATGAAATAGCATGATATAAAACTGTGTAATAGCATGACCCAATCATATCTTCAAGAGTATTCATCCACACATTTGGAAGAAAGACTGGAAAGAAAATCACGAAAAGGTTAACAGTGCTTTTCTCTGAGCTGTAGGACTATGGAAGACTTTTTTTTTTCTTTATCCCTTTCTGTATTTTCCAAAACTTAACAACATATAGTTCTCAATTCATTGAGGGTTGGATGAGAAGGCATTACTACATACTTAAAATGATAACTGAAAAACAAGAAAAGAAGAGCCAGAGAGAGAGATAGGGCGTTTGTCCCCAGCTCCTGCAGGTCCTCTCTGCCCTGGAGGAAACAAGTAGGCAGGAGCCTGGGGAGGGGCAGCAGCTGGAGGAAAGAAACTGGTCAGTGGATGGGTGACCCTCAAAGGCCCAGGAGAGGAACTGTGCCCTTTAACATCCTCCACTCATCTTGAACACTGTCTTGGTTCCACTCAGAACTGGGTTTGGCAAGGCTGACTACAGGGAGTGAAGGTGCCCGAGCTGTGTGCAGCTAGGGGCTTCTGATTGCTAACTAAAGGGGAGGCAGGAGAAGAGCCCCCAGGGGAGAGGGTGGTCTGCAGCTGCCCCCTCACCCCAGGCCTTGGGAACTGACTCCCACCTGGGAGAAGGAGCAGGATGGGCAAGGAGGGAGGCCCTTGGAAGACTAAGGGCATGAGCAGCCCTGCCTGGAGGCCCAAACGACAGGGTGCGGCCCAGCCTGGAGGGCGCCCCTAGTCCCCGAGACCACCGCGATGCCCTCTGTGCAGAAGAGCTGTGCCTGGCCCAGCAGCAGGAAAACACAGGGGGCTGAGAGGACAGCAGGGGGGCAGTTGCTAGTGCCTTGGGGGGTCTCAAGTATCAGACCTCAGCAGAAAGACCAGAACACACTAGCATGTGAGGACCGCCCCCGCCCCAAATAAGTGGGGTAAGCTTCGTGGGGGAGGGGAGGGGGAAGAAGTCCCAGGACATTGTAGAGGGGAGCCAGAGGCAACAAAATTCAGGGACTAAAGGTAACAACTTTGTGAGCACTGACTGGTCACAGGTGTGGTGTGAGGACAGGTGGTTGCCCATCCCCCAAGCCTTTCTTCTTATCTCCTTAAAAGTATTCCATTAGCTATTCAGGGTCCATAGCACAAGACTGTTTCAGGGAAACCCAACCCCTAACCGAAGCTTCAGGGTAGACCAACTGGACATCCTCTCCCCCTGGCCAGAGGGGCCTAACCTGACCAGTGAGACATGAGGGAGGCTTGCTGGGGTTTATGGAAACCATGCTTCTTCACACTTAGAGGAAAGCCACTGGCAAGACACCAACCCTCTGGCCAGCAGTTGGTGAGAAGCCCGGTTCTGCCACAGCCATTCTGTCACCATGAGGGAATCATATTGAGGACACGAATAAGACACAGAGCAGAAAACAGAGAAACAGCACCAGGGCCACCGAATGAAACCAAAGCCTGCCATTTAGACAGCCTGCAACAACCACATTGTTCAGGCTACTTGGGAGCTGGGTTTCAATTAGTTGCAGCTGAGACTATATAATATTCAAGACATGCTTCCTTCTCTAGAACAAAGCTGACTCTGAGGGAATGAGGATTTGCAAAAAATAAGCTGTTGATTAGCTCCCCACCCCCTCCACCAAACACAGAGCCTGGGAACACAGAACAGACCGGCAAATCAAGGGTGTGGCTGGTGAGCAGCACATGGAGGGAAAGCAGCCCCACACACAGACTCCCACGTCACTGGCGCTGGACAGCTGGAGCCAGCCTTTGCCACTCACAACTTCACATGTGTCTGCAAGGCCCAAAGGAGATTCTGTCAAATTCTAGAGCTTGGAGGGTCCCCAGAGTTCCAACCACTGAACTGAGTCACAACTCAGGACACATGTAGAACAGTGATAACTAAAACCAAACTGATCAACACGACAAAAAAAAGTGTCACGTGTGCAGGGAGGTACACAGAGATGTGGGGATGGGGTACACACCCTGTGGGATCTCAAGGGCCCAAGAGCCACCACTCCCTTGGAAATCAGCTCCAGGTGGTCTCAGGAGGGGCCTCCCATCTCTCACCCTGACCCAGCCAAACCGGGGGCAGGCTCCCACCATACTGCTGCAAGCAGACAGAGAAAGCAGACCCTCCCTTCGAGGTCATAGGTTCACATGAATCCTGCTGACGTTTTGTTTGGCAGTTTGCTGGCACATTCCCCGAGGCCCAGAGAGCCCCCGGTCTGCACAGTCCAGATTAGAACAGAAATTGCACACTTAGATGCCAGCCTCCTTGTGCACAGTACTGTCTTTTGTTTTTCATAAGATCTTGTGAGCTCGATTTCAGCCCCAATTTATGGATGAGGAAAAGTGAGGCCCAGAGAAATTCAGCCCAACTCTGTCTGAGCAGGGATTTAAGCCGGATTCTGGCGGCCCCCAAACCCATATGCCCCTACTTCACTACTCGCCCTCCCTGGTCTGAGGGGGCTGTTCTGGGCACATCCAGTGTCTCTCTGGCCTCAGCTGGAAGAAAGCCATGGTCCTTAGGCCCATGACCCAGGCAGTGAGTCCCAGCTCCGGACCAGAGCAAGGAGGAACCCCAGCCCCAGGGCCCGTCAGCATGGTAGGAGGACCCGCCTGTTTTTCCAAACACAGGGTCTTCATGACTGTTCCCCATCATCACCAGCCTCAGATGAGTCAGCGTGTCACTTCCCCTGCTGGGCCCCACCCAGTTCCCTTACTTCTGTTCTGAAAACGCCAACCAGGCATTCCTGTAAACGCTTTGCGTTTGATTACTCAGCCCACAGGGCTGGGGCCACACAGTCGCCTGCGTGGCCGCTTTGCTCCCGAGTCTTCGTCAGCACCTTCAGCCTTTCATCCAAGCACAGCACCTGCACCTCCAAGGTGCCTTAGGTTCTTTATGTTTATAAAGAGTCTGTGTAACCAGAATCTTCCTCTTAGGCAATTAACCTCTGGTGGCATAATCGCATGTACACTCCCCAACCCCAAACTCGCTGGGGTGGGAGTAGAGGGTGGAAGAAGGGGGTCTCTCTCTGGGGGGGAGCTCCTCACTTGTCCGAGGCTCAAAAGGCAAGAAGGCCCTTCTGGAAATTTTGCTTTGGGGGATGCAGAATCTCAGTGCACTAGCTTTTCTGGGCACTCGAGCCTGCAACTGCAGACAGTGGGACCATGCCTACCATACGCCCTCTGTCCCAGTCCCTTCAGATTCCAAGCCAAGGCTGCACGTGCTTCCCAGAAAGAGAAAAGGACCACTTCCAAGGCTGCCTTGTGAAAGGGCTGTCCCCATGCAAGCTCCCAGACAGAAGCTGACACACCACGCAAGCTGACTTGTGGTTCCCAGCGTGCAACCAAACCGCCCTGGAGTGGGAACCAAAACATCCTATTCTGGGTAGAAGCAAAGGCTCCAGCCAAACCAGTTTCTAGGCTTCATTTGGTTTAGGTTCAAAATGATGATGATCGGTACTTGGGGGGAGCAGAAACCTCTCAAAACATCTACATTCTCAACACCACTTCGTGGACGGCCCACGGCACGGAGAGAAGCAGGCTTCTTGAGGGAGGCGGCCGTGCAGAGAGACAGCCCAGACGCTACTCTTCCACTCATCACTTCTTGAGCTGCAGCTCTGGCTGGAAACGCTGTTCACTATGCCCCCAGAAAGAAAACCTTGGGCTTAGAGCTGCCTCACTCCTGACTTAGGAATATACCTAGAGACCCCGGAAACAAAAGTCACACAACAAAACCCCCAACAACCAAAACCGGAAGCCACGAATGAGAAATGAAGAAACCGCAGATAGTGAGGAAATCCTGCTCCGTGAAGGACTTACACCTGCGTTGGCCACCCCAGAGACAGCCCGCAGGACCGGGCTCTCACTCTCACAACCCCAAAGGCTCAGGTGAGGCCCCGAGGAAGCTACAGGGGCAAAAGTCACAGGGGAAAGGGCCAGGCACTGGGACAAAGGGCTCCTTGCAGGCCACCCAGCTACTAGCTTCTTCTGTGCTGCCCTTCTAAGTGTAACCCTGACCAGGATGGTGGCCACCCAGGGTGATTGTCTGGTAGAAATGCAGGCTCTCGGGCCCCACCCTGGACTTGGCAAAGCAGCACCGGCACCTTAATGAGATGCACAGTGTGTATGGGAGAAGCCCACCTAGAGCCTGGGTAGAAAGAGGCAGAGGCCTGGTTCTCCCGAGCCAGCACCATGGGGGCACCCCCAGGCCTGAAGTCTCTGGCCTTAAAGAGAGAAATCTAGCTGTCTCACCACTTCCTCATTCACGGCTGCCCCCCACAGCAGGGTGCAGGATGATGTCCCCCTGGTTAGTTTCCTGCCCAACTAGGAAGGAGGTGCCTCTAGGTGCCCCACTCCTTGGTTCTTAAACTCGGACTCTGGGGAGTGTGGCTAAGGGAAGGAGGACTCCAAGCCACATGCTGAGCATGGTGTTTGTTACAGATACAATCAGAAGGATATATTACAGAACTGAATGCAAAATCTAAGTGAATCTCTAAGATAACAGAGATGACTTCAAAGAAATTTCCAGTTGGTTAGCAAGCTGCTTCCGGCTACATGGGGCAAGACAGCATGTGGGAAAGCAGCCGCCTGGGTGAGCTTTCCAAGGCCCCTGGAGGACTCCAGGGAAAGGGTCTAAGGAGCACTGGCTTCTCTCATCCTCCTGAAAACCAAAGTGGTGGCTGGGCTGGGCTGGCCCTCCAGGGGGCCCCGGTGCTCCCAGCAGCCTCTGGACTACCCATGCCCACAGGCTGATCCACAGCCCTTGGGCTCCATCAAGTGATCCCAGCAATCAGTCTCGAGGCTCCAATAAGGCCTTCAGGGAGATCTGTGCCCTCTGGAGGCTGTATGAATTAGCTGGAACAGACACAATGACGCTGAAAATTTCCACTGTGGTTCATCGTCCCACAGAAACCCTAACAACAGATGCCAGGCATTCTGGGAGGACCAGAGGGAGGCATAAATATGAAGTAACAGGGCAGGAAAAGAGCTCCAAAAAAAAAAAAAAGCTACAGCCTTTTCCTACCCAACCCATGAAACAGCCCAGGGCAGGGCCCTGTTATCTGGACCAGTGAACTGGGCCACAGCCATAGAGATGAGGAAATAGAGAACCACCCATAAGAAGTGCTGTAATGAAAAACCCTGGGTATGAGCAACCAAAGCCCGGGACATCAGCTAAAACTCAAAACTGCCCCGTGACAGGCAAAGACAAATAGCTCCTAGGTAAGTTCACCAGGTGTTAAGCAGCCTATGAGGAAGAGGGAGGGTTAAACTGGCATATTTTATGAAGATCAAGGTGGGCAAGGGTCACAAAACCTCAACCAGGCAGCCATTCTAAAGGCTCTCCCGAGATGGGTGACGGGAATTAGAGAGGAGAAGGGCTCAGAGAGGTTTAGGAACAAAGACTCCAGAGCCGAAGTGGAACCCAAGTACACCTCGGTCCACACCCCGCTCTCTCCCCTTGACCTCTGTCATTCCATTCCAGGTCACCCTCTTCAAAAAGAGCCACAGGCTGCCACACAGAACTGGCCAGGCTGACTGCAATTAGAAGACATGGACAACCCAGCCAGGCAAGGGTCCCAGGGAATCCCGCCCCACTGCCAGGGTCCACTCCTCAGACTACACTTTTGTCGCAGCAGTAAATGGACACACTCGTCCTACCCTCTGCCTGTCCTCCATGTGGCAGAGGCACTAATGAGCAGGGAGCAGAGAGAACAAAGGGTTGTATAAACCTAGCAGTGGATCCCCCAGCCCCACAGGAAACCCAGGCAGCCGGGTGAGGAGAGAGCTCTAGCCTCAGGAACGCTGTCTGCTGGGAGAGCAGAGCCCTTAAGAGTTCTGAGGTCAGAGGACAAAGCTACAGTCAGGACTTGACCTGGTTGCCGACCCTGACCCTAAAGTACTGGGGATGCTTGGAATGGGTGGGGGCAGAGGACCCCGTGAGACCACACAGACTCAAGGGCACAATCCTTGGCAGCTCAGGACCCATGAAGAACTCTTTCTGTGGCCCCCTCAGAAGAAGGGGTATGAAACAGCTGCGGGACAAGTCGGGCTGGAAATGAAAGACCAGCCAGAGGTCTCATCATTCAGCAATAGTTAACAAGCATCATCCAGGGCCAGCTCGGTGCTAGGTCTCAGCTAGGCAAGTAAGCCAGATGTGATCCCCGTCTTCAAGGAGCTTATGGTCCAGTTGAGAGGACAGACAATGGACAAACAAATAAATATATACTAAGTTAAACTGCATGAAACTGCCATTTTTGTAGGTCAAAATGGGTCAAATATTAACATTTACATATGATTCAACCTAATTAGCAGTTGTCTTAAATATGCTGAAGAAAACCAACAGAAAAAAGCAATTAAGAATAACAAGGGGCTCAACTCATTGAGACAGGGTGGTTGGGGAGGGTCAAGAGAGGTGACATCTAGGACGATAGCTGCAGATGAGAGGGAACAGGGAGTCAGCTCGTGGGTGATGGGCGGAGGGTATCAGGACCAGCTCGGCCAGGGATGCCGGCAGCACCATGAAGCTCAGAGCAGTGATATAGGGGGCTGGCAAGAAGGGACCAGGCACACAGCTATCAAGAGAGGAAGGGTGTGGAAGAAGCTGAAGCTTCAGACTCCAGCCTGCAGCCCATTGCCCAGGACCCTGAAATGTCAGCAGTCAACTGAGCACAGGAATGGGGGCCCCACACCTCTGAGGCTGCAGCACTGCAAGCCACCAAAAGTACCCCCAGCCGTGTCTGTATGATAGCGTGTGCTCCCATGAGGGCAGAAGACAGCTTTGAGTGAAATCACAACAAATATCCCACCCACCGTGCTGAATGATTGCTCTAGTCACTCTGAACCCTCACCCCTCCCTGTATCCTCCCACTCTGCCACATAACCCACAAGGGCCCTGCCCACTCTCAGACGGGGGTCAGCTTCTGTGACCTGCTTCGGCCAATGATGTTAGCAAACGTGAAGCAGGGACCAGAAAAAGAACCAGTGCTTCTGCCCCGGCCAGTCCGCTGGTCCCAGAAGGAGGGTAGGCAAGCAAAAGAGAGATGAGCCACCCCAGTCACCCTGGCCAGGCCATCCTAGACCAGCCAACCCCTGGACATCGAGCCCAGCCGAGGTCAGCAGAGCCACCTTGCCGACGGCCAAGCAATCAACTGGGAAAGCTGTCTACCCCTGAGGTTTTGTGGTTGGTTGTCACACAGCATTACTTAGCAACACAATAGGCACTCAATATCTGTCAATTAGATAAACAAGTTCCAATTTCATTTCTAAAAAGTTAATGGTTTAATAAATTATCGATTGTGCAAACTACAGTACCTTCTATACAAGTTTTCTACAAAAATGTATCTTGCGCTGTGAATCGACCGCTCCATCATCCGTATAGGTGACATCTAAAAGAAAACAGAAAGTGATTCACTGACTCAGGCAAAGAGAGGGGTTAGGATGCTCTGAAGAATGCCTGTTGCTCCCCCTGCGTACAGTTTGCTCTAAATACAAGAATCGGGAAGTCATGGGAGAAGGAGGCGGACACCAGAGGAAAGCCATGTCCCACATCAGGCTCTCTCGGCCCCGGACCCTTCCCACACCCTGAAGCTCAGTGGTCAGTGCAGCAATGCCCAGGCGGAGGCCCTATCCACAGCAGCCTCCTCACAGGAGAGGTAAGGCTCCGCTGGGCTGTGGGTTTGGGGAAGTGCGAAGTGAGGTGATTATTATGGACCTAAGTAGGGTGCGTTTGCTTAAGCAGAGGTAGGGCTGGGATGTGGCTTTCTGGAACCCCACAAGGACGCCTGCCAACTTCGCTGCCTTTTCACAGGGCTGGCTGGGGATTGCTGCACCTCTTCCCAAATTGGAAAGGACTGTGTCCAGGAGGGAGGAGGATGATGCTGACATCAGCCCCTCCCTGCTGTGGGGCTCACACCCTCCACAGATGGCCTCTCCCATTGTCCACAGTGTTCCACTGGGAAGTGGGAAAGGCCCTTCATCTTGACGCCAGGTGGGCAAGCTTACTGCTCTCACTCAGCCTGGCCCACGGCACTCAGTGGGACCTGGATGAGCAAATGAGAGGCAGATTCAAAGCCATAACTCCAGAATTTCCTGACTGTCTCTCCCCATGTGTCTATCTGCCCATCCACCTTCCTTACTAGTTTTCCACCCTCTCCTTACTTGAGACTCTCTTCTGCTCGTCTTGTTAACGCCCCATTCATCCCTCTCTCCTGCTCCCCTTTCCCAGTCTGTCCATTTCTCTTTCTCTCTCTGTCTCCTTCATGATAATAGATTCCCTTAAATGGAGGGACACACATATGGCACATTATATTCAGATACATTAGACACAATTATGTTTGCTACGGAGTCCCCACTCAGGAAAAGTAGGGTGAGTGCCAACCTCAGATCCCCCTCTGATGTGTATCTTTTAGAGAGATCTTAGGGGAGACAGAAATTCATACGATTCTGCTCATATCTTTCCATTTTTAAAAGATGCAGATTTTAGAATGATAGCTGTGGTTGCAAGTGCCCAGCCCCGCATCAAACCATCCAGCCATCAAACCATGGCTGTCCTAGAGTAACTGGCTGTAGGGATTTCCCATCTCCTTCCAGGAGGGCCTCCAGCCCAGTCTTGCCATTCTGAACTACAGGCACCAATCAGGGACTCCTCAGCCAGCCTTCTTCTAAAAGACTCTGCCCCTATTCACACCCCCGCTGATGGAAGGGGCCTGAGCAGCCGTGTTGGTGCCCCGTGGCCTGTCCCAGCACCTGACTGGCCCAGGGCTGGATACATGACCCAAGCTGAGCCAATCAGATTCTTGCAAGAATCTGAACCAAGAATTTGAACAGGCCTTGTGAAGGTTAGATCAGCGGGTCTGATGCAAACAAACAGAGCATGCATTAAAATCACCTGGAGAGCTTGATAAAAACACAGATGCTGGGCCTCATTTCCAGAATTCCTGATTCAGTGGGTCTGGGATGGGGCCAGAAAATGTGCGTTTCTAACAATTTCCTGGGTGCTGCTGCTGCTCCTGGTCCAGGGACCACACTAGGAGAAGAACTGGGTTAAAGGGTGTTGAGCCCAGGAGCAGTCAGGGTCATGAAGACTCAGGCTCCCACGGCATCAGAGCACATTCTTGGCTAGCTGAGGGGGGGGGGGCGCACTGGAGGCTGGTCCTCAGAGAGCTGCAGGAGTACAGACCTTGGCCCCAGAGACAGAAAAGGCTGGGCAGCGCTGAAGGCCCAGCGGGGCTTCCTTGTGAGGCTTCCCTTCCTGGCAACCACATGCCCCTCATTCGCAGAAAGGTGTTTAAGAAGGTTGAAACCAAGCACTTGAAATGTACCTGAGGACGAGTGTGCTGGTCCAGCATGGTGAGCTGCACGTAGGTCTGCAGGGTGAGGCCCCATCGACAGGCGTCACGGTACATCAGACCCTGCGGGGGGAGAATGCAGCGCTTTACCTCAGAATGCGGTATCTGTAGGACTCCAGTCTCTTCAGTCACTGACAGCCATCTTGTGAGACCTACAGGGCTGAGCGGGAGCCAGAGATGAACCCACCACAGTCACAGAGTGGGCAGAGACAGAGACTAGAGCAGTTGCAGAACAGCCTAGGAACAGCTGTAAAAGGAGCTGATATAAAGTCCCAGGGAGCATTCATTCAGTCACTCAGTAACGTTCACTGAGTCCCTGCAGTCTGCTCTCTGTCTGGCAGTCAGTGAGCCTGTTACACCTACAGGAGCCGGTCCTCAATCACTCCCCTGCTCGGAACCTCCCCTGGCTTCCACTGTACTCACAATGAAATCCAAAGCCCTCACCAAGGCCCACAGCGCCCTAGAGAACCGCTTCCATCTTCTCGTCTCTAACCATTCTTCCTCTGGCTTAGTGAGCTTCCAACTGCACGAGTCCCTTAGTGTTCCCCAAGCACCCAGGTGCAATCCCACCTCAGGGCCTTTGCATCTGCTGTGCCTTCTGTCTGAACATTCTTCCCCCAAATGTCTTCACGGCTCACTCTCTCACATAAATAACGGTCTCTGCTCAAATGTCACCTTATCAGAGATGCCTTCCCCAGCGATCCTCTCTAAAACAGAAGCCCCACTCCTTCACTCTCTGTTGCCTGTAGACACAAAATACTTCATGCTCCATATTCCACTTGCTAATAATTCTACTTTGCTCTTTTCCAGATTTTTGCTTTTTTTTTAAATCTTGCTGCTAACTGGTGCTCTGCATTGAAAACTGCAGACTCCTAACTGCAGGTGAAAGAAAATCTCACAATGGTTAGGAGAAACACTTCCTCTTGTCTGACAGGTGCAGAAACAAACACCTTCTTGCATCAGAAAACCAATTCAGGGAAAGTAATGAATTGAGACCTTTCACTAAACTATCAATCTTGCTCTTCTGTGCAGAGCGGAAACTTGTGTAAAAATACATAATTCTATTATTTTTTTATTATAAAACTGTCATTGGAAATGCTCTTTGTACCAAGGATATTCAGGCTTCTGAGACTGGGACTGTGTCACGTGCAATGCCACCTCTAACCCCTAACATAGGCCTGGTTCTCTCACATAATGATCCAGGCCTGGTGCTCCCTATTTTCCTAGAGCAGATGAATGTTTCTGAGGTTTCTTTGTTACACCCAGGGCTGCCATTCCATCTTCCCCACCTGCCGAGAGTTGAAGCTCTTTTCATGTCTCTGGGATTCTTTATTCAGACTCTGAGCCTTTCTGCCTTATTTAAATAACACCCTTTTACCTGCTTCATATGTCTCCATGGCTCCTATCACCACCTGCCATAATATACATTCCATTGTCTCCTGCCTCCCCACACCGGGACATCAGGGCCAGCAGAGCAGGAAGCTTTGAGTTGCTCACCGCCCCAGCATCTAGAACAGTGTCTGGCACATGGTAGGCATGCAATGAATACTGGCTGAATGAATGAACAAGCACCTACTACGTGCTCAGAGTGCGCTATGATCTAGCAAACAATGGTGAGCCAAATTAAACATAGTCCGCCCCTAGTGGCGCTCAGAGAACCAAGAACCACTCAAGGAGATGCCCATTCTGTTGCTAGAAACAGGGGAGAGCAAAGGCTCTCCCAAGTCCAAGGTTCAAAGCTAGATCTGTCATTTACCAGCTGTATGACCTTGGGCAACTCATCTCAGCTGCAGTTTCCTCACCTGAAAAATGAAACTAATCATCTCTCCATCATGAGGAGGGAGCCCAGATCCACATCCTTTCCTCAAGCTCCTCTTACAGGACCCAGGCTCCACCCATCTCTTTTCAGGCAACAGAGCAGAGCTTTCAGAATGGGGAAAGAGGTGGGAGGGGCCTGGCTGGGCCCACCTTGGGAAAGCAGACAGGTAGCTTCAGGGTGAGCCTGAGGCAGCCCCCCGGGCATTGCCAAGTGCAAACCCAAATCAGAGGTTTATCAAGGAACCTGGTTACTTAGAGACAGGTCCTGGAGGGCTAGGGCTGAGGAGACCTGGGTTTCTTCTAGGAGAGGGTAGGGGTAGAATGAGCTGCAGGAGACAGACACCCTGGATAGCCTGGGTGGACTGCTGGGAAGAGTTTGGGATAGTTGGCAGGAGGTCCCTGGGCGCTGCACATGCCCTGACAGGCAGCAGAGAGCCTTCCCTCTGAACACCCATATGTGGCATTTTGTCTTCATCCCTCCCGTGCCCCCACCACCCAGCTAAGAGTGAGGACACGGGCCTGGGCAGCGTGCAGGCTCAGGCACCAGCACCTCCATTCTGTGCACTTAGGGGGAAGCTGGTGGTTCACATGGGAAACAATATACTCACCAGAGGATTATGGCCTCGGACATTTCTCCACTTGGGCACAGGCTCCACTAACACCTGCAAGGAAAGAAAACATCAGAGAGCTGCTGTGCCTTAGCTCTGAGAAGGTGTGCAAGTGTGAGAGGAGGATGGAGGGAGAGGCAAGATTTGGGTGCCCAGGGGATGCTGAAATAGTTGAGCAACCCTCCCTGCGAGGCCACAACTCCATCTAGACGTGGCCTCCTTGCAAGACTTCCAGAAATGACCTCAGAACCACTCCATCTACCCCTGCAGACAAGTATATGCACACGCCACTGCCACCACTCCGGCTGCCTTGGGAGCTCCCTGGGGGCAAGGCAGGTTCTCCCATCCCTCCTGCATGTTACTGCCCACCACCTCGGGCCAGTAGGCAGGGAGGTGACAGAAACAAGAGGGTGGTGACTTCAGGCTGTGGCTTGAGCCCAGCTTCCTGCTGGGGGCTCTCTGGTGACCTTGGCAGCACACGATGCTCCGGTTCCTCCCTCTGGTCTCTGCATCAGGCATACTGACAGCAGAGTCGTGTTTCTTAAGTACACTCCTTAAACTGTGCAAGAGCCTTGTTGCGTGTGCAGGTGTGTGCTGGAAAGAATTTAAATGGTGTTCTTGGACCTAAGATTTTGAGAATATGCAGATCTTTCTGGGGACCTTCAGGTGCCTATGAGCAGGTCCCACAAGGTCACAAGAGACCAAGGGAAAGCAATGCATGGGATCTTGAAGAGTTACCTCCCCCATCTTTCACACCTCTGTACCTTTGCTCATGCTGTTCCTTCTGCCCAGTATGCCCACCTCACCTATTTCACCTCAACTTTCATTACATGGAAAACTCCTATACATCCTTCAAAATCCAGTTCAAATATCTCTTCCTTTGTGAATCATTCTCTGCCCCTCTCAATCTCCCTCTCCTTCTTCCGAGTCTTCAACACTCTGTTCCTGTCCCCTGAGTAGCATGACCAGAGGCTGGGTCACAGGCAGCCTGGACCTACACCCCATCTGTGGCACTTTCACTCCACAAACAATGAGTCCCCACTGTGCCAGGTGCCACCCTAGGCTCCAAGGATATAGCAAGAGCAAAATCACCCCAGCGCTGCCTTCATGTAACCTTAAACTTACTGGGGAAGCAGACATTAATCAGATAATCACAGAAATCAACACACATTTTCAAACCCTGAGAAGCTGTATGGAATACGGATACAGAAGGGCCACAAGAACCAACACCACAGAGGGTACCTGGCTGTGGGGGTCAGAGAGCACTGAGCCGAGATCTGAAGGCTGAGTGGTCTTCCTAGACCCAACAAAGCTCTTCATGCTGTAGAAGAACCAAACCAGGGCACAGCCCCCAGAGCAGACAGCCTGGGCTGGGATGTGGCCCCTTCACGCACTAGCCGTGATGATTTACTAGGAGGACTCACAGCATGCAGCATATAGTCACACTCACAGCCAAGATTTATTACAGTGAGAGGATGCGAAGCAAAGTCAGCCAAGGAAAAGGATGCACAGAGCAAAATCTGGGGGAAAACCAGGCACGAGCTTCCAAGGGCCTCTCCTGGGGGAGTCACACAGGACGCACTCAGTTCCCCCAGCAGCATCTCTACTGGACAGGCTTCGCACCCTTTAAAAATCCACCAAGCTTTTGCAAGTTCCTTTGAACCCGGGGTGGAAGCCGTACCTCGATGTCTGTTGTGTTGGAGAAGAACTCCAGGCACGTCGTCTTCCCACTTGCAATATTGCCCTCGACACAGATCTAGCAAAGGACAAATGCACGTTAGATTCAGTACTTGGAGGGGTGTCAGCGAAGAATTTCTAGGGAAGGGCTCAGGTAAACAGCCGAACTGGTTCAGTCTAAGACTTCAGTGTGCACACAAAAATCCCTCTGCAGGAAACCCCCAAGGTCCCATTGTTAGTAACAAACTGATCCTCCCCGTCGGTGGCAGGCTTCAGGACAGCCCGCTGCCCTCCAGGACAGACTCTCCCTTACATCAATGCCTAGACCCTACACAGCTTGCCCTTGGCCACCCCTCCTCTGCGCTTCCCTAGATCAACCCCTCAGACTATTAGATGTTAGGCCTAAGTGTCCTTCCTTCTTAACCAGAGGCTGATGGCTTTGAGGTTGGGAAGCACACGTGTGTTACCTTGGACCTGACTCACTGCTTTGTGCAGAAGGACGTGCTCGGCCATGGACTGGAAGGTATTAGGACAGGAGAGCAGGACTACGACGGGTAACGTACACCAATCCTGTACCTCACCTTGCCTGACCCTGAGAAGCGGCTCCTAACGTTTTCACAGAAGAGAAAAATGAGGCTCTAGAAGGGCATAAAGCAGGGAGTAGAGGTTGAATCTACACTGTGTTCACACTAACTGCACTGGGGGAAGGGGTCTACCTCTACCAAAGATAAGGAGCCTCCTACAAGTACATCATCGCAGGGAAAGGAAGCATCCGCAGCAGACGGGTATGTGCTAGAATCACTGGGGAGATTTGAAAATCTCCAAAAGGAAGCCACTACCCAGGCCAATTCCAGCACAATCTCTGAGGGTGGGACTCGGGTCTCAGTAACTTATAAAGCTCTCCAGGTGATTTCAACATGCAGGAAACTGCACCACTGGTCCATGGCAGGTTTTCTCAATGAGTGGTCACAGACACCCTGCTCCAGAAGCACCAGAGGCGCATGCACCCAGAACCTCTGAATCAGACTCTCAATTGGGGCCCTTGAACCTGCTGCCCAGGAGTTCTGACAAGGCTCTGCTCAGCCAGGACTGCTGGTGACACGGGCCAAGTGGCTTTGGCTCCAGCAGATCATGAGAGGAAACAGGCAGTTCTACATACATGAAAAGATAAACTGGCCCTTGAGAACACATATTACACATCCCCTGGGACGCACACAGCCAGAGGAGGACCTATCCTGCTGCACAGTGACCTTCACACCCAGGCTGGAGGCACCCAGAGCACCGTGGGCCACATAGGTGACTCATTCCAGGTGATGGGGCTGGCAGGGGAAAGAGCTGGAATTCATACCCAGGCCTGGCAGACCCCTTCTCGTGACGCCAGGAGAGCTTTAGTCACACCCCCATAAAACACAGGGTCGCGGTGGGCTGTCTCACTTTACCCCAGTCACTATAAACTCTCCCCAGCAACTAGACAATCTGTCAGCTGGCTGCGAAGGTCTCCTCCTGCCTTGATCCTAACAGGTACCCAGGAGAGCTGGACAATTACACCTGCAATAGAGGCCTGGCCCTCAGGTCCCGCTCCTAGTCAGCTCACCCCTTTCGGACTAGAAACTACAAGATGAACCCAAGGGAGTGTGCAAAATGGAAAGCCCATTAGGGTCCTCGTGCATTTGATTTCTTATTGTTGTTCTTTAAAGGAAATAATGTTTCCTCTTCCTAGATATATAAAAAGAGCTCAACCTAGACATCATTCTGCACAGACTGTTTCTTTCCTGTTCACTGCAAGGAACATGTTACTCAGATGAGAACTTCTTCCAAAAATATTTGTTCCTATTCCCACCACAAAACCCTGAAAGTCAGTAAATCTAAGGCCTTGGATTATTGACTGGTTTCCCCTTGAGAGCAGGCAAGGTGTGGGGAATTGCACAAAGTTCCCCTGTCATGGAGGGAACAAAGAGGAGTCAAGCAAAGAAAGTCTTTATCTTTTTTAAAAATGATGTCTAAAAATATTACAGTAATATATGCCCATTGAAGAATATAGAGAAAAATCACAAAGCAGAAAATGCTGCTCATAATCCTGCCCCTGAGACACCATCATTACATTTCAGCGTATCTCGGGCAAATATTGTTTCCTCTGCACATTTCTCACCTTTGAGAGTCTTTCAACTGCTCACTGAGGGCCTACTATGGACACTGAAGACTCAGGACCCAGTCCCAGCACCCACTGAGAGCTCAGTGAGTGTGAAGATGGCAAAAGGGCCGAAGTTTACCTCCCCTTTCCTCTGCTGTTAGGCCTGGATTCCAACTTCCCATGATTCTAACTGACACTAGGATGTACCCTCTATCCTTATGTTTAAATAACACTTCATCTTTTCCTGAAAATGAGACTTTAAGCAGTCTCACAGAAGGAACTACAGAGAACTAAAAGAAGATAATAAAAATCACTAATAATTCCAGAGATAACCACCATTAGATGTTTAATCAGAGCTAAGCTTTCCAGAAGCAAAAAGGCTCAGGCCCAAAAGCCCCCCAAGAAGATTCAAAATATGTACTGTCCTACTAAAGACCCTGAGACACCTGCAGTAAAAAGAAAACTTGCCCAAATGTCCAGCGACTGACAAATGGATAAACAAAGTGGGATACAGCCACACAGTGGAGCACTATGGTATCACTATGTGGCAACTGACACATGCTATAGCAGAGATGCACCCCGAAAGCATTCTGCGAAGCAAAAGAAGCCAGACACAAAGACCAAATGTGCTATGATTCCATTTTACAGGAAATGTCCAGAAAGGGTGAACCCGTACACAGGAAGTAGAGGGCTAGCTGCCTGGGCCTGGGGGAGCGACTGCAAACAGGCACGAGGTTTCTTTTCAGGGTGATGGAAATGTTCTAAAATTAGACTGTGATGCTGCATGACTCTTGTAAATTTACTCTAAAAAAAAAATCACTGAATTGTATACTTAAAATTAGTGAATTTGGGGGTAAGCTAACATATAATTCCACAAAGCTGTTTTTTTAAAAAGGATCCCAGTTTTATTTCATTTAACATTCAAAGAACTAAGGAAAGGCTTCCCACCCTCAACCCCCAAATTCTTTATCTTTTCTCTCATACACACCCACTGTTACCACTCTCCGACTTTCCCTCAACCAGACTGACAACTTCTGCATCATTAACAGTTTGTAATACTTCTTTCCTGTTCTTTTCCCCATATGAACAGTTCATTTATTATTTCATTTGGATCACACTTCATCTATTTTTATTTTATTTTTTTCATCTCTTACATAGTGAATACCTTCCCAGGTCATTAAATATTTTTCAAAAACATGATTTTGAATGACCAAATAATGTTCCATGATGTAAGATAAACTATGACTTATTGAAATCCCTACTGTTGGATGTTAAATTCTGTCCATTATTTTTATTGTGAATTTGTGTTGTGATGCCCATTTTTTTGATACTATAAACAGTGCTTCAGTGAACATCCCTGTACATGGATCCTACTTGTCACTGGCTGGTTATTCCCCTTCAGTAGATTTCCAGGAGTGTAATCACAGCAACAAAAGTTAATGGGTTTTTATGGCTGTTGATGCTTGATGCCAAATTACCCTCTAAAATGCTGTCCCAATTCACACCCCTTTTAGCAGGATGAGAGTAAGCCCTTCACTATGCTCTGCCAATACTATGTATATCTCATCCTAAACCTCTGTTTATTGTATTATTAATAATAATAACGTCTGTTACTTACTAGGCATTTAGTGTTAGCCTCATCGGTTCTATACTTTATAAACATTATCACATTGGTCCTCACCACAATCACAGGAGCTAAGAATTATTTGCCCCTTTATATAGATAGGGAAGCTAAGCTCTAAGGAGTTAAGGACTTGTCCACTTCTACTAAATAGCAGAGCTGGGACTGAAGCCCGAGTTCCCAGGCCTGATTCCATAGCTTTTACTACTCCATCTCCAAAAGCTTTTGTTCTCTGTTACAGAGGCTGAGCACTTTCTCATGTTTATTAGCCATTAATAAATTCCCTCAAGAAATGTCTGTTCAGGTCAATTGTTTGTCTGAAAGTATTAGTCACTTGCACTTTTTTTAAACTCAACTTTGGAATTTAATTTTTTAATTCCTTGGGTGGTGACTCACTTTCCAGTTGCAGCTCAGCCCAGATCTTCCCTAACTGTCCTGTTTCACATGCACCTCAATTTATCACCTCCCAATACCCACATATGGCTTCCCTTCCCGTTCCAGTCCTCAGGAAAGGCTGTACCATCCGCCCAGACACCCTCAATACCCTGGATGTCTTATCTCCCCAGTCAGCAACTCTGGGCCCTACTCACCTATAGAACCTGGGCCCTGTCTCCTTGGCTCCTAGCTAGGGTCTCTAACCCTCCTTGTTGGAGCCTCCTTGCTGGCATCTCTGCCTTCAGTCCAGCCCAACAGGGCCCCTCACCCTTACCCATGGTCCACCACTTCTTTCTGAGTGGCAAACCAGATCATGTCCAGTAAAGTCTTTCAGTGGTTCTGGGTGTTGGGATCTGTCTCCGGTCCCCTGCCCTACCTCAAGGCCCTCCCCAGCTACCTCTCTGGGACTGGCCACAAGCCTCAGGCTTGTGGGCTCTCTTCCTTCTGTGACTTGCACCTGCAGTTCCCTCCCCGCCTTCTCCCAGGAGGCCTCAAGGGTCCCCAAGCCTCCCGTAAGTGCTCACCCTCTAGAAGCCCTGCCTCTTACTCACTGCTGTTCTAGATCCACCATTGTCTGACTCACTGCCATCTCCCCCATCAGACCGCGGGCTTACTAACAATACGGGCTGCTGGATCCCCAGGTCCCAGGTCCACAGAGGAACTCAGAGGATTTAAATGATTAAGAGCAGCCCTGGGCCTGAATACAGGCTCCATACCACTTCCTACAAACCACCTACCGTGTCTGAGGACTATCAGGCCACACCCAGAAAGCACCGAGGACAGGCCCGGCTCCCACCTGAGTGCTAGCTCAATGATTCATATAATATAATGCATCAATTCCCATCCACAGCCCACCTCCACCATGGTGCCTGTCATCATACCCCACTCCACCTTTAGTTTCGACAAACTTCCATAAACCACAAGCATTTTAATCACCAGTTCTCTCCATGTGACTTCACTCCTTCCCAGACCCTCTCCATCACCCCGAATACCCTAGAGGGGCTGCCCACAGCTTCTACCCTCTGCAGATCCCAGCCAAGGTACTCCTGTCACCGCCCACCAAGCCACTCCCTTCACAGCCATTCTACCAACTTCCAGCTCCCATAAGGAGCTGAGCCTCTGGACTGATGGTGACTGAAATATTGCTCCTCACCACAGCCAGCTAAAGGCTCCAACATGTCGTGGACATGTCCAGCTTGACTCTTTAACCTTCCATTTCACACCAGCCACAATCCCGTCCCAGAGTTGGCACCTTAAAGTCACTGTACTGGCTGAAACCATGTCATGACCCCATTGATTCTCTGTGATCCCCCACACACCTACCAGCCTCAGCAATGGTGGCTTGGGAGTGGCAGTCAGCAGACTCCCTCACAGCCACTAACCCATGGTCACCCCAACCTTCCCCACACAGGATGAGCACTTTTCAAATCCCTTTGTAATCAGTCATCAAGCTAACAGTTCCAATCCACCTAAAGGCTATGAATACAAGTACTCTCCTACCTGTGTAGATTCTCAGGAAGAACATACCAGAAACTGGTAACAGGTGGCCTCTGGGGAAGGGGTCTGGGGTTCCGGGGTGTAGACAGACTTCCTTATTCCTGGAGATGCTCTTGTACTAATTTTTTTTTTACTGTGTGCACATACTCCTTCACTCCCCTCCTCAAAACGTGTGTGTGTGTGTGTGTGTATGTGTGTGTGTGTGTACTATTCTACAAAGGAAAGAATCCACATAAAAGAGACTTACCACTGACTTTTTCTTTTTTTCACTTTCTCTATCTTTATCTACAAAAGAAAAGAAATCAATTTTTAAACTCAGTTTTAAATAGCTCACTCTTCTTTGTCCTACTTTTCTAAACCACCAGTTTTTATGCTTGCTCCCTGAGCTAAAAATGTTTTCCAGTAACACCTGGGCCGCTCCTTAGGTGGATGAAGGCACTCACACCGCCGTCTACCTGCGTGTGACACTGCAACTGCTGTCTGGGTCCTGGTGGCACATCTAGGCCCCAGTTGTGCTCCGCTTTGCTCACTTAGTGTACTATGCTTTCCATTTTCCAAGTATTTTATATTTATGACCCTCCCTGATGGGTGTCCCCCTAGTTAAACCAGAGTGGCCTCCACTCTAGCGCACGGGTAAGAGTGGGCAACGGGCATTGGTTTCAGCCCAGGAACTCGGGTTTCTCCTGCAGGCCCAGGGCTGACATCGCGGCCCACACACCCTACAGGTAGTTCTCAGGTGCCGGTGAACAGCCTGAGGCCAAAGAACGCCAGAATTTGGCTATAACGAGGGCTCCTATTTCTGAAGGGAAGGGTCTCCACCACCTGTGCACTAGAGGCTGGTGAATTGTAGCTCCCAGCCCGGAACTCCCCCAAGGCCAAAAGGATGGGGCCAAGAGTAGGACGGGGACCTGTGGAGAGGAGGGTTCTTTCCGCTCTTTAAAGGGTTTCCCAACCCCGAACAAGAGATGGGTCGGAACCCCACCCGCTCCCTGCCGGCTCGTGCCTGGGGCACCAGCTAAGGACCGCCCGCCCCTCCCTCAAGCCGCTAGGAGGAAATCCGGCGCCTGGGAGGAGTTTCGGGTTTAGGCCAGTACTGCTAGCCGAGAGCAGGGAGGGGGGCTGATGGCCGCTGAGCGCCGAGGCGCGGGCCACATCCGGGACGCCAGCGAGGGGAACCGAGAGACGC